ATAAGTGGGGGTGTTAAGAAACAGTATTTTATATCTTTATTTCTGTAATGTTGTCATAGGTTCCTTACGATAGAAATGTGTCATTGGGACATAATACTTGTTTATTTTGAGCGTATCTGGCAACCCAAGATTGAACGCCATATCCGGTCCGTATTCGGCGCGAAATTCTCTTCCTGTTCAGTGGTGATTAGAAGCGGCTGCTCTCTGTGCAGTCGGCAAAAAGAAACATGCCACGACTTTGAGTTCAGCAAGAAATTTTATCTCTCGTCATTATTTTCCCAAATACATCCCGAACGAAGCGTGCATCTCAACACTCGGCATGGAGCAAACATCATCCATAGAACTATAAACAATAAAACAATAAATTGATCGAAAAAACAGTGGAAAAAATAAAACATATGGCAAAGCAATATAAATTAACTTTATGTCAAGCTTGTGCGCGCACGCACACACACACACACACACACACACACACACACACACACGGGGCATGTTTTTGCTCCCGCACAAAACGGGGCCAGGGGCGGCAACGGCTCCTCCGGCCACTTCGGTGGGCGCAGCCCGTAGCCTCCGTGAATGGGAATTCACTCCCGGTCTTGGTGTGCAAGATGGCCACGCGTAGGGCAGCACCGACATGTTTTTTCTCGCCTGACAAAGATTCCGGCACGTGCTTTGTCAGTCTTTTTCTCGGCGCTCCAATGAAGGCTCGACCACAGCACCCTCTACAGGTCCGTTTCGGCACTTTTCTCTATCCCCACCAAAAAAAGACCATTGAGAAGATTGACATATTTGGGGGGGGAGCAGACCTCTCATTTTTTTGTGAGATATGTTTAATCTCAGGTTAAAAAAACCAACAGATGCGATGACAGTTTAGTGGGGGGGTTCCCTTTTTTTGTTGCGATGAGCTCCTATGTGAGCTTCCCACAGCTGAGGTAATGTCCTCATTAACAAAGATGATGTCATTGGAAATTTCGACACAGGTGGAGTCGACAAAGATAGCTGGAGATGTCCATTTCTACAGCCCCCCCCCCCCTTTTGTTCTTACCTCGGTCAGCACCCGTTCAACCTGGCCTCTGTACTCCAAAGTCACCGGCTGCTCCTTGGGGCCCTCTGCTGACAACTTCTGACTCGCCGAGCCCAGCACGTAACCGCAAACGTGACACACACACACACACACACAACAGAAAATTCAAGTCAAAAAAAATCTAATCAAAAGCAAATTAGCCACGTCTGATTGACAGTCGTACATTTCTAAGGATTTGGGGATTGACGATATGCACATTCAACGAGAACGTGTTTGAATCAATCACGTCATCAAACCAAAATAGATGACAATTCCGTTCATTTTTATGAGTTGATTTTGTTGTCTATTTTGATCTGCCTGCAGACTTTTGGGGGGATTATTTCATTTAGATTTTATGCAGGATGGATTTGAATTGTGGCTGGCATTTCAAGCCCTTTTCGCGCTCGTTCGCAATTCGCACATTTTGGATCATCCATCGGATTCCCAAACTTTGAGTTCCTACAGCATGTACGGGGCAACCGCCTCAAATAATTTGCAAGAAAATTATACAAAGACCAAACAATCGGCTCGCTACACCACAGCTACGGACAATTTTGCGTGTTCCGTACGCGCGTTTGGATAGTGCAAGGAAGCCGGAAGACTCTCGAAGACAACCCAATGCATGTGAACGCGGGAAGACACACAAGATACCAACCACAAAGAAACTTGCTCGCCGCAAGTCCAGCGCGCCGCATGAATATGCTCAAATAACTCCGGTGCGTTACTCAGATAAACAGATGCGATGTTTCTTACCAAAAAGAACCTTTGCTGACTTCGTGCTGACGAGTGTCCTTGCCGACCAGCACGTTGTTCGTGACTCCTGAAGACCAAAAACAAACAACAAATACTTTATGTCGAAAATGGTGACGCGTAGACTTACTCCCTTGGGAATCTTTCACGCCCCCAAAAATCTGGATGTGGGGAATTTTTATCAACCCTCGACCTGAAGTTGAATCTTCAATCCAGCAAGGGGGACGGAGAACCGATGCTGTCTTCCACTCACGTTCACCCTGTAGTTACGTTTCGATGCACATTTAAGGCTGGGAAGTTCTGGGAGCACACAAGTCAGATGTTGCAGTCTCACCAGCTCTCAATTCAAACTCTGGGTGGAATTTGAACACACCGTAATGTAGGCACAATCTACTCACACTGGGAAAAATAAATAATAAAGTTTTTTTTTAAAAAAATCAAACGTCTTGCTCAAAGATGTTTGTAACTTATTTCTTTTGTAGCTCGTACTCAACGCTAGCTGAATATAAATACCGTATGAGCAGGATGCATAACAGGTGGATGGATACTTAAAATGTCCGTGGAGATGGCTACATCCTTGTTGTTTTTTAGCAGCCCCCCAACCTAAATCCATAACGTGCTTGCGGTTAGTCAAGTCGATGAAGACGAGAAGGCAATTTACGCTTGAGCTGAATTTGAGTTTGTCCGTCTTGGTTGCTGTCCCACGACATAGAATCCCCGACGGGCAATTTGCATTTGGCGCAGATGAACACCACCGGACGGTCGACATCGTTCTCCGTCCCAGTGTCCTCGTCGACGCTGGAGTCCACGCTAAACGTTTCAAATGTCCTGTTAACGCTTCCCACGCCGTCGGTGGGATCCTTCGCCCGTGTCGCCATTTTTCTTTCTGTTTGAATTTCCGCGACGGCGAATCGAGATAGTTCACCACCTTTAATTTTCCATTTCGGATTAGCGGCTCGGGCCAACCTCTTCATTTCATCCTCAAATGTAACTTAAAAACGGACTGTATAACGTTTGTTTACCTACCCATTGTCATTTTAAAACTTCCTTTTTCAAAGTTGACTGTTGCTACGTCTTGTAAGATTGTGACTATCTTGATTTGTGTTTCGTCCTTGTATTGTTGATCAATTTTTTTTTTACAGTTTCGATTTACAGTATTGTCGTACATCTAATTCACTGATAGCATTTTTGGCGGAAAATTATTATTTCAAATAAATAAAACTACGAGCAAAAAAAAAAGTCGACGTGTCCTAATTCCTGCCAAGTCTCACACACACACCCGATTGGGCAACAACACGGAAATTCGGCAAACGATCCGGAAATTTGGGCGGCAAATGTCCGAGGCGCGTAAATATAAAACGAGGCGCTGCTGTCGACGATCGCTCGACTTCCACAAGTTGATTCTCGCCATTCTCGCTCGGCCATGTGTGAAAAGATGCAGAAGGCAGTGTTGTGTCCGAGGACCGGCAACCCGAGGCCAAGGACTTGACTCCGAGGCCAAGGCCAAGGACTTGGAAAATGTTCCAAGGCCAAGCCAAGGGCCAAGTACTTGAGGAATTTTCCGAGGCCGAGGCCAAGGACCAAGGACTGATTTTGAAGCCGATGCCTAGCCAAGTACATGTATAAGGCGGAGAAAAAAAAGTAGTGCGTTTCCTGTAACCCGACCGACCGAGATTTTCTACGTCGAAAAAAAACTTTACGGTCGACATTTTTTTCAAGCA